AAAAAAAGCACATGAAGGGGAGAAGGTATGAACAGGAAGAGGTGTTATTTATATAAGGTTGCCAGGAAAGGCCTCTTGTGGTCCCCCCCAAACCTCCCCAAAGAAAATGAGGTAAAGAGCCATGTGGTGGGAAGAAAAGTGACACAGGTGAGGGAGGAAACAGTGCAAAGGTCCTGAGGCAGGAGCGTGCTGGTGTATTTCAGGAAGAGCAAGGCCGGAATTAAGGGAGGGGGTTCAGAGGAGGGCAGGCTTGTGCTGGCATGCTAAGTCCACAGGAAGGACCAGCATTTGGTGCAGTGAGATGGACGCCATTGGAAGATTGTGAGCACAGCAGAGGCGTGGTCTGACTTAGTTTAACAAACTTACTCTGATTTAGAAAGACAAGAATAGACGGCAGTGGAACAAGGACAAAGTCAGGGGAGCAGCTAGAAGCTGTAACTGAGAAGAGGCGATGGCGTCTTAGGTCTGGAAGGGAGATTTTCCTTTTCCAGGGGCAGCTGGCAGCCTGACATTCACTGAAACGGAAACAAAGCATTGGAACTGGTTCAAGGCTTGCTATCAGGGGGATGATCTTTTTCCAGGCTTGGATTCTCTGTCCTCCAGGCTCCCCCTAGATGCAGTAGAGGCCTGGACTCCTATCCCATCAGATTGTGGTGACTTTGGACTTCAGTTTTCCCATCTATTAAATGTGGTAGTTTTATGGTCAAAGTAGTACAACTCAAATGATCATGAGCTGATGGCTAATCAAAATGTGGCCTATCCATGCAGTAGAATATTACTTGGCCACAAAAAAGAACGACATACCAGTACATGCCACATCTGATGATCTTGAAAACATCATCCACAGTGAAACAAGCTGGACAAGAAAGCCCATATGTTGTCAGTTGCATTTATATGAAATGTTCAGAAAAGGCAAATCTATAGACGTGGAAAGCAGACTGGGGGCAGAGAGACAGGGAAGTGACTGTTAATGTCTATAGGATTTTTCTTTTTGGAGTGATAAAATTGCTCTGAAATTTGATCACGGTGATTGAGGCACAACTCTGTGACTATACTAAAAACCAATGAACTGCACACTTTAAAAGGGTGCTCTCTCTGCTTTATGAATGATAGGTGCTAGTTTTTTTTTTTTAAAGTGCCAGTTGCAGCTGGATCTAGGGTCTGCATCTGTGGTCCAGAATGACTTTCGAGGGAAATTGTGGAAGACATTTAATATCGCTGAGATTCAAAGTTTAAGAAGCCATGATCTATAGGGACGCCCTGATTCACTGGGTCGGCAGAACCCTGGGGAGGGAGTGATGTGTGTGGGCTCTGCCCGGGCTGAAGGGTTGGAAGCCACTCAGTGACCTAAGTCAGGACTTTGGCTTGGGCCTGAGATCAGCAGTGGACCCTGGGATCTGAGAATACCATGTGAGGGAGGAGAGGCTCCTTTTGTGGCTGCAGCTCCTAAGCTTTAGGCATCTTGGGTCATGAGGACGCATGTCCTCCCCTAGAGCGCCTGGCCCTCTGTCTTGGGAAATGCTTGCACTCGGGACTTAAAAGGATTTGTGTTGATCTTAGTATCATTGTCATAATAGCCACTAATCGAACCAGGCGTAGGGCCTTTATATTTTTACCAACATCTCACTTCTTCCGTGCTCAAACCTATGGAACTGGTGTTACCATGTGCCCATTTTACAGATGAGGATGCTGAGATTCACAGAGGGAAGGACCAACCTTGCAGCTGGCTAAGGGGTAGTGGTGGGGAAAGAAGCAGCAGGCTGGGCAAGTAGCCATGAGTCACTGTCCACTTCCTTGTATTCCTCTACTCTTTCATTCATTCTTTTAATGCACACTCATTGAGAACCTGGATTTGGATAGGCACTGGGTGAGGTGCTGGAGTAACTGCCTGGGTCCCTGGGCATCAGGACGTCAGTGGGATATCACCAGGTTACAGGTGGCTTATTCCCAGGCCCTGTGTTGGGCAACTCCTCCCACACCCTGTGTTTGGTGGGCTTACTCAGGGTGGGGTCCCTGATATGGCCTGTGACCAGTCTGGGGGGTATGAGTGGGGGCTCTGGAAGCATCTTAGGGGCCTGGACACCTGATTGCCTGTTGTTTCACCCAGTTCATTCAATTTGTGTTTGTTCAGCAAACCGCAGAATTTTCCTTTTCTGTGCCAGCCTCCCTCTACTCCAGGAGTGTAAAGATTGTATGCAGATCTTGCCTTTCTTGGCAAGACTTTGTTGCATCTTGGTTTCTCTTCGTTTCAATTTAACTATCTCCTGGGAGTGATTTTCTCTCTTTCCCCATTGCAGACCCTCCGGGACCTGCTCCAGTTGGCAAATAAGCTCTTTCTCCTTCTAAACATCCATCCTTCCCTCCCAGATTCCCTCCTACATATTGTCGTCTAGTGATGAAAAATATGCAAATAACTTTGAAAAACAGCCTCCCAGCAAATGGGTATTCAAAAATGTAATAAATTAACCCCATAATGAAATCTGGGTCCCCCTACCACCATCCATCATGCTGATGCGATTAAGATATGAAAAACCAGATGCCGCAGAGCCCCCTGGATGCAAATGACAGATGAGGTTTCACTGAGCTCCCCCACGGCCCCATGCTGATTCAGCACCCTAGCCTGGCCCCAGCCCCACCCCCAGAATCTTGGCTCCCATAGGCCCAGACGCCATCAGAAGTTTAGGGAACATCTGTCCAGTCTGTTTATTTCACAAATGAGGAGATGGAGGTCTTTTGGGGGTCGGGGATCAGATCCATTTGGCTCCATCTCCTCTTGCCCCCTGTTCCTCCTCTTCCTGTTTATAGCTCACTCTGAATCTAAGGCTCCAAACCCAGGCATTTTTATCCACAGGTTTCTGGTTGGCAGTGGGTACCCCAGTGTCACACAAAGATTGATTTCAGTTTCCCCATCAGAAAAATGTGACCATTGGATGTATGTCCTGGAAGCTTTCTCTGAAGACCTTTAGTTGGTGTGGCTTAACCAACATATGGCTTGTGCTGTGGCAGGGGGCTGAGACTGGGGACACACGGAAAGAGTGCCTGGTATGAGTCCATGTCACGCATGCTGAGCCCCAGAGGTCACCCCCCCAGGGATAGCTGGGCTCTGAGCTTCATCACTAGGCTCAATCCTAGGGACCCTCTACAAAGAATTGTGTCCCTCCCCAGCACCCCACGTCCAACCAAGATAGCCACTTCCTATTACTAATGAAAAAGCTGCTTGAACAGCCTCCAGAGAGGGGCAAAGAAGGACCCTGGCTTGTCCCTAGGGTAAGGGCACCCCCAATGAGCAGGGGACTCTGTTGTAAGTCACTGAGCTGCTCAGCTGGCCCTGTGTGTAAATGGTCATCTCCTGCATGATGTGGGCAGGGTCCCCACATTTTGATAAGGTTGCAGTACCTAAAAATGTGCTGCCAGGTACATCAATTTCTGAAATGAAATCACCCATCCCTTTGGGTTAAGCATTGCAATTTTATGAAATGTAGGTTTCCTCTAGGGACACCCAACCCACCACAGTGATCCCCACACATTCTGGGCATCAGGGCCCTAGAGGAGCTTGTTAAAGAGCCAGTACCCACTCTGATCTGCTAGGTCAGAGGGGCTGGGAATCTTGCTCTTTAATGGCTCCCCAGGGGATTCTGATACAGAGTTCTTAGGACCACTTTTGAGAAATGCTCCTGCTGCATTCCTGGCTTAATGGCTATTTTTTCAGTCCCTTGCCACCCCCACCCCACACTCAGAAGTGTGTAAATCCGTGTTTGCAGGCCTTGGGGTTGAAGGAGGGAGGGTGAGGCTCTCTACTGAGCTGTAAATGGTAAACATTCCTGGTTGGGTCTGCATACCAAGAGATGGATGTGACAGCTAGCCAGCAAGGTGAGAGGCAGGTTCCCTGGTTTCTGGTCCTGATTTGTTGTCTGTAACTCCGCAGCCACTTCTCTGACCTTAGTTTTTCCACCTGTAAAATAAAAGGGTTGAAGCCCTGGAGGCAGAATGGAATCAAATTGAAACCCTGGATGCAGAGGAGTGGACATAATTGGGTCTGTTCCAACTGCGTGGTTTGGGAAACGAAGGAACGTGCCTGAGGCTGTTTTCCCATCTGTCAGTGGGGCTGTAAAATGGGTGCTTTGCTCAGAGTCAAGAGGAGATTTTTAAAAATCAATGCTTGACACTTTAATAAATGCTCAGCCCATGTCAGCAGTTATTTTAATATTAATAGTTATCCTCCGGGGATGGTTCAGTCTTTCTGGGGTCCGGGCCTCTGGAGGGCCAGAACTGTATAGTGTAGTGACAGGAATACGCCCCCCCGCCCCCCCCCCCCAGCCTGCTGAACCTCCTTCAGTTCATTTGTAAAATGGGGCAGAATCTGAGGATTCAGACAGATAACCCAGGGCCGCACTCGGCCCGGGGGCCGGCTCGCCGCTGGGGCTCTAGAAAGCCGGTTACTGTTGCGGAGTCCCGGCCACGGGAAGTCCGCCGGGCCGCATCAGGGTCGGGGGGGGGAGTGGGGGCCTTCCGGGGGCGCCCCGTCACCCCCCGCCCCGCCCCGGGGGCGCTTTCCGTGGGGCCGCCAGGGTCGGGGCCGGGACTCCGGCGCGGGCGACGGACGCGCCGCCTTCTGACCCCGCGGTGCCCCCGCGCGCTCTCACCCCCGCACCTGCCCGCCCGCCGCTCCTCCGGAGCCAGAGCAGCGCCCGGGCGGGAAAGTACCCAGGGCCGGCGCGGAGACCGGGCTGTCGCTGGGGACGCCCCCCGGAAGTGGAGGGGCGGGGCGCGGCGCGGCGGCCCTCGGGCGCGGGGCGGTGGGTGAGGCCAGGCCCCGCCCCCGGGCCCGCCCCCGGCCACACCCCTTGCGGCTCCGGCCCCGCCCCTGCGGCGCCCGCGGCTGGCGGGGGGCGTGGCCAGCGGCGCCGGGGCCCGGCGGAGCGCTGCGGACGTCACGGCGCGGCGCCCGGCCGCGGGCTGAGCGGGAGGCGCGAGCGGCCGGGTCGGTGGCTCCCCGCGCCGCGCCGGGGCCGGACCCCGAGCCGGGAACCGAGGCCGGAGCCGGCACCGGGGCCGGGGGCTAGGATCGGGGTTTTCTTCCGGGAGGAAGCCCGCCAGGTGGGGGCGGAGCCTGAGTCCAGTCTCGTTTCGCTTTCCTCGTGTCCCGCGCCCCGCGCCCCCCGCGCCCGCGGCCCTGCCCTTCACGGCCCCCGGGGCGCGGGCGGGGGGCCACGGGCCGGCGGTGGGCAGAGGCCGGTCGCGGCGCAGCCTGTGCCGCTAAGCTCAGCCGCCAGTGTGTGCTGGGGGTGTCCACCCCAGATGCCCTGATTCTGTGTGAAGGGGGGAGCTCCTGCCCGGGTTCCCCCAAACGGAGGGGAGGGGCGGGGGACGCTGGCGGGCCCGGCGTCTCCCTGGGCCTGCGGAGCTACCCCACTCCTGTCCCACCCCTAGGTGTCGAGAAGGATGACCACGCTCACGCGACAGGACCTGAACTTTGGCCAGGGTAGGAAGGCGGGCCCAGCGGGCCGGGCGGGGGCGCGGGGGGCCGGGCCGGCGGGCCTCCCGGCACTCGCGGGCCTCTCCCTCCCGCAGTGGTGGCCGACGTGCTCTGCGAGTTCCTGGAGGTGGCGGTGCACCTGATCCTGTACGTGCGCGAGGTCTACCCGGTGGGCATCTTCCAGAAGCGTAAGAAGTACAACGTGCCGGTCCAGGTGAGCCTCCAGGGCGGGGTGGGGGACACTGGGGCACATGGGGGAGGGGTGGAATTTTTTTTAACTCTTTTCCAACTTGGGGCCCAGCTTCCTCATTCCCCATGGCCTTGACCCGGTCTTGGCCATGCCCCACCCATCACTGCAGCAGCCCTACCTCCCATCCCCTCAGAGCTGGGAGCTCCCCTTGCCCAAAGTTAGGGACCAGGACATGGTTGTACTTTAAAAGAGCTCCTGAAATTGGGCAACCTTTGAAGAGGGGATTCCTGTAAGCCTCTGGCACCCTCTCCCTCCCCTTGTTTCTATTAATTGTAATGGGTTGTTTTAGGTTAAAAGGCAGACAAAGCAGGGACGACTCCACCCCAAGTCTCTGGAATTGTCTGCCCCTTAGAAGGTTCAGTAAACTCTAGAATAAACGACTGAAGAATACCAGAAGGAGGTGGAAATTTAAAGAATATACAGGGAAATGGAAAAAAGATTCAGCACTGTGTTCCCATGGTGTAGTAGGTCTTTATCTTCCTTAATCTTAATGTTTTCTCTAGGAACTGTTCATAGGTCCTGTCATCGAAGCTCAAAGAAGTAATTTGTCTGAGGCCACACAGCTCGATTTTTAATTTTTGAAACTTGATTAAATTTGTGCACATATGCACAAACACGCACAACTCTACAATTTAGGGATTTCTCAGACTCTGGAGGAGCCCATGAGCCCCACATTAGGAACCCGATGTTATGCTAATGTTGAGATTGAATTTTTGATCTTGTAACTTATCTTCCCTTGTGACTTATTCATAGTTTTCATAGTCCTTAGCCCCAGGGTGGGAATTTGGTCTGTGTTGTGGGCACAGGAACCGCTGGGCCCCTTTGCAAAGGCACAGGGCCTTGGGCTCCTGGAGCGGATGAAGGTGGGTGGCTCCCCCATAAGTGTAGGAGTAGGACTGGCTACCGAGTCCTCACCTGCATCATGGGGCTGTGTGCAGATGTCCTGCCACCCGGAGCTGAACCAGTACATCCAGGACACACTGCACTGCGTCAAGCCGCTCCTGGAGAAGGTGAGGCACCACCTCCCACCCCCAAACCCCTAGCCTGCTTCCCCTCAGTGTATTCCTCTGTTCTCCCGACCCCACTCCAAATCGGGATCATGCTGGATCCCATGACTCCTCATACCCATAAGCATGTTTCCTGCAACCCCCACCTTTACCCCACACCGGCCCCAGGCTAATGGGTTGAGGTCAGGGGGTGCTGGGCCCAGGAACCCCACTTAGTGGAATTGGCCTGCCCTGGAAGATTCTGGATTTTTCTCACATCTGTTTCTCTTCCTCATCCTGCACTCCCAAGTTATCTCTGGACTTGACCTTTCAGGGTCTCCTATTTTGTCTTGTTCTCTCAGACTTTGGGGACCTCCATGGGGCCCAAGTATCTTTTCCTCAGTCTGTACAAGTCATGTTGAGGGGTGGTTACTTGAACTTCTCAAACCTGCTTTCTAGGCTCTCAGGGATCCTGTGTGTGTGCCTTTCTCATGCTTTCTTGGGAGGGAGTGGGTACGGGCTGGGTGGGATGCCTTGTTCTGGAGTTTTGGGTTCCTGTCCTTGCAGAATGATGTGGAGAAGGTGGTGGTGGTAATTTTGGACAAAGAACACCGCCCAGTGGAGAAATTTGTCTTTGAAATCACCCAGCCGCCGTTGCTGTCCATCAAGTGAGCTTTCCCCAACCACCCCCACCCCCGTTTCTTCCCTCTCTATCTGCTACCCTGCCTGGTATGAGGTTCTGGGCAATACCCCTTTCCTATCCCTTTGGGGCAGCCCTTGGTAAAGCTAAGCCCCTGGTAAAGGTCTGAGACGAGACATGGCAAGTCACGCCAACCTCACATAGCCCGTTAGCTGCCCAAGTCAACCCAGGTCACACAGAGGTCCTCCTGTCTCACCCTGCACAGTCGTAGCACTGGTGAATGGCTAGCCCCAAACTCATGTTACAGAGGAACCCAGGTCCAGAGAGATGACAGGTTTCCTAGTCCGGTGTCATGCTTACTCAACTAGAAGTTGACCTTGCGCAGGTGATAGCTGGTTAGCCTTGGCCTTCCTCTGGTGAGCTCAGGGCACCAGTTTGTCCCCATGTACTGTGTGGCCTCTGGCAAGCCCTTTCCTCCCTTCGTGTCCTGGGGTCTGAAGAGCCTCCGGCTGTGTGCTGGTTCTCAGACCAGCTGCACATTGGAACCACTTATGGGGGGCTCCCTACACCTGCTCCTCCTTCCCCCCGCCTTCTGACTTACTGAGTCTGGGGTGGCGCTCAGCATTGGTGTTGAACTCTTAGGAGGACTTTAACTGCAGCTGATACAGGTAGCTGGGCCTTTAGAAGCCAGCACTCTCAGCAGCTCTCCAAAGGGACCCTCGACCCTCGGGTCAGCTTCCAGGGCTGCATGAATACCTGCTGGTGAGAATGGGGTACCAGTGTGATGGGAGAACCTCCCCCTCTTCTCTTCCCAGCTCAGACTCCTTGCTGTCACATGTGGAGCAGCTGCTCCGAGCCTTCATCCTGAAGATCAGCGTGTGTGACGCTGTACTGGACCACAACCCCCCAGGTGTGCTCAGCCCCCAGCCCCTCTTCCCTGAGGCTTCCACAGCCTCCTTGGGTTAGTCTGTTCTCAGCCCCTATTTGGCTGCATGGAGCTTTGTCCCTTCCTTTCTGCCTTAGAGCCCCTGTGACAGTCCTCCTCCTCCAGGAAGCTACCCTGGTTGACTCTCTAGCTTCAGGCTCTCTGTTGACCAAGTCTTATCTCAGCTGCATCTTACTCTCTGTTCTGTGGGGAGCCAAGCTGGCCAGGGGAAGCGGGCGGAGACTGTGCCCAGTGCAGACATGGGATGGCCCAGCCTTGACCAAACTCTTGCCTCTTCAGGCTGTACATTCACAGTCTTAGTGCACACGCGAGAAGCTGCCACTCGCAACATGGAGAAGATCCAGGTCATCAAGGTGAGAGGAACCTGTGCTGTTCGGAGCGGACAGGGGTCTTGCCTAGGTCCAGAGCAGTCACCGTTTCCGACAGTGCTGGGCACCCGGGGGTTCTCGTCTCGTGTAACTATGTGGCCACGTGCCTGTCCTTGTTCCCCCCGACTCAGCAGTGGGAGGAGGGTGGGACCGCAGGTTGGCGCCCCCTGTTCAGTGGGGGGTTCTCAAGGGAGGGTGTCCTTGCCCACCTGTTCAGTCACTCGGGCTCCCGGTCCAGCTCTGACCTGCGGACCTGGCCTCTGGTGGAGGAGCCTGGGACTCTGCTCTGCCAGCGGCTCCCTAGTGACTCTTCGTTCTCTCCAGCCCGAGAGCTCCAGCTCTGGAGGGGGAGGGGGATACAAAGTGAGGGCAGGCCGGGGTGCAGCCTCCTGCGAGCCCCTCACTTCTGCCCCCTCCCCAGGACTTCCCCTGGATCCTGGCAGATGAGCAGGATGTCCACATGCATGACCCCCGACTCATACCCCTAAAAACTATGACGTCAGACATTTTAAAGGTGAGCTGCATGGGGACCCGCAAACCTTTATTTAGGGTATGTTGAGGCCCTGCCAAAGGCTGGTCGATCAAGGCTTAGGGGAGTCGACTGGGAAGGCCTGTGTAAATGGGCTCCTCCCATCTCTATCCTTCCCTTTCCTCCCTGGCTGTGGCCACACAACCCCACTCTTGATGGGGCACTGCCTGCCGGGGCTCACGGGACCTCTCGAGTCCGTGCCCTGGCTGCCCGCCTCACCGTGCTGTTTGTCCCTGTCCCCTAGATGCAGCTGTACGTGGAAGAGAGAGCTCATAAAAGCAGCTGAGGGTGTGCCTGTCCCCCTGCTGATGCTACACCCATCGGACTTTGGGGGGGCGCCGACCTAGGGCCGCACTGCAGGGCCACCCTGATTCCAAGTGCTCTTATTGCCTCTGTGTGTGGACCACCCGCCCTCCAGCTGGGGATGCGTAGGCGTGGTCACCTCCATGGAGGAATTCTCCCCAGGAGGGCAGTGAAGGGTGTTGGGACCCCAATTTCTCAGCCTCCTGGGGTTCAGCCGGCCAACACTGTCTGTCTCAAATACTGTGCTGTGAATTGTTTCAATAAAGGGGCCCCAAGGGCTGAGCCAGGCTGTCACTTACTGGAGCGGAGGAACGGGGTAGCCTGCTTCCCTGCGGGGAGGCTGCTTCTCTACCTGTGCCAGGGACCCGGGCCGCCACAGGCTGGTTTTACTGAAAACATTTATTATTATGACAAAAATGACAGAAGGCTACCCAAAATGGCACGTGTGCTGAGGTCAGAGAGGAGACAGGAGTTCCTGGAGCAGGGACGGCTGGTGGCCATCAGGTGGTGGATGATCAGAAGGCCACGTGGGGTCCAAAGGACACGTAGCGGGGTACAGAGGGCATGTGGACATCCTCTGCCCTCTGCGTGGTCTCGGGCTGAGGCTCGGAGGGGGCCGGGTTCCTGGTCATCTTAGGGCTGATGGTGATGCTGCTGTTGGTGACCCGGGGTCCGTACCAGCCCGCCCAGAACTGGGTGTCGTGGCCCCCGTGCTGGAAGTGGATGTGGCGGACGCCCGGGGGGTAATCAGAGAAGGTGTGGGAGACCTGGGAGGAGGGAGGAGAAAGTGATCACTGGGGTGGGGAGGGGGCCACAGAGGTGACCCCTCAATTGGAGATGGGAGGAGCTAGGCCCTGCAAGGGAGCCCTTTAGGCCAGAAGGCAGGAGCTCCAGACGGAAGTGTTTGGGGTGTTCTGGGCCCTAGTGAGGCCCTGTGTTTCTTGCATCCTGGCTCTGGGAGGGGCAAGCGGGTGAGGCCTCACCTCTCTCCATCTGGCATCACTCCACTGTTCGATGGTCACAGGCGGGGGCTCATAGGAGGCCAAGACGATATAGTCGGCCGAGGTCAGCTGTATACGGATTTGGTAGGTGCAGCCACAGTCAGCTCTGGCAGCAAACCTGGGGGATGGAGGGGCTCAGGCTGTGCACTCCAAGACTGAGGGGACCCTGGAGGCCAGCAGGTGCAGGCCCAGTGGCTGGAGCACTGACTTTTATTTCCCTTCTCAGCCCAGCTGGATTTGATGTTTCCTGTGTCCCCAGACAAGCAGTGTCTGCACTGAGGCTCAGTTATCCCACCTAAGAAAAGGGGTAACCCTCTGGGATGTGCCACTGAAGATGTCACCTTAAAAACTAAAAGGCCCTTTGCAGAGATAAAGGCCTGGGCTCTTGGGGTGGCCGCACCTGAATGTTATAATGAACTAAGGTGGATTCAATGGGAGAGTCAAGGGGTCCTGGATGATGCGGGCTGGCAGGGCTTACCCTCTGCTCAGCCCTGCTGCACCCCACTCCTCTCGATGTAGCTCTGCATCCTCCTCAAGCTCTACCCCTCCCCACTCAGTGTAGTGGCTTGGGGTCTGGCTGGGACTGGGGTCCTGCTTTAGCCATGTGCTGAGCCTGAGCCTGGCATGGCGCTGCAGAGGCGTGTGGGGGAAAGGCGCTGTGGGCTGAATCGCAGGGGAAGGCCAGGAGGCAGAGGGCAAAGGAATCTTGTGAGCATCTGAGATCCAGGGAGGCTGGGTTCTGGGGTCGCTCCAGGACTTCTGTGACAACTCATCTGTGAGCCTCAGTTTCCCCATCTGCAAACTGGCTAATATCTGCTGATGCAGGGGGTGGGGAGGCCTGGAGGTGCTGCTGAATGAGCAAGTGGTCAGTCTTTCTTTGGGGGTTTGGGGCCCCAGACACTCCCAGAAACAGAGTGGGCTCTCTATGAGTGTTCTCAGGAAAAAAAGGAGGGACGCCATGGGCCCCACTCACCAGTCCTTAACCACGATGTCAGGCCGGTATGTGTCCAGCAGCTCCTCCCAGTAGCCCTCAGCTTTGAGGTTCACCATCTGGGACTTGAGGCACATCCTGGGGAGCAGGAGAGGGTTGCATTCCCAGGCATGCTCTGCATGGCCCAGACCCAGCAGTGACCCCTGACCACAGCAGCACAGTCCCTGCCAGGGGCTGACTCTGGTTCCCACCACACTGGCAGGGAGTTTAGCCCACTTGTGGCTGGGTGGCATCTGGTCCCAGTTGGGGGCCCTAGGGAGGCACCTCCATCAACTTATTCCCAGATTAGGGCCGGCCTCTAGATACTCCTGACTTAGCCTAACTGCCTCATGGACTCCCAGCCTCCTTAAATGCTCCCTCCCCCCCCCCCCCCCCCGCTCCCACTGCCTATGAACCCAGCCACTGATCTGACTCCAGAGCAGCTGACTCTGAGCCAGTTTTGGGGCCACCTCCCTGGAGCTTCACAGAGAGGCCCTCACTCAGGCTTGGCACTTGGCAGACCTGACCCTCCTCCCCCTCAACACAGCCTGCCTTTCCGGTGGGCCTTACTCATAGGATGTGACAAAGTACTTCTTGACACTGGAGTCATGAAACTCTGTCCCGTGCGCTCCGGGGATGCTCTCCACGTTCCAATTATCCCCCCCATTCATGTCAAGCTGCCAGAATCTCGTACCCTCTAGGAAAATGGAAGCGGAGGTCAGATTCCCCATGGGAATGTTAGTCCAGCCCCTCCCCACCTGGTCCAGGAAAGCAGGGCTGGCTGAGGCCTCAAGGAATGCTCCCCATCTGTGCTTTGGTGTGCCCCTTCAGAATTCCCCTCCCCAGCAAACCCCCTCCCCCCCACCATAGCAGCTCTGATCTGGGACTCTCTGCCCCACTTTGTCCCTAACTAGCTCAACTTCTAACATGAAGCTGGAAAAAAGAACATTACCAGAAATTATAAACCAGACCTTTCCCCACTTCGGTGGGGCTCTGGGAACTACCCAAGCTCGTCATGAAAACATTCCCGTACGAAGGGCCTGGGATGGCACTTCTGTTCTCAGTGGCCTTGGGGACACTACTTGATGACTGGCATTGTCCCCGACATCCAGTGGCTAGTTATAGACCCTCCTGAGGACCCTGAAAGCACCGATCTGTGGGTTTGTGGGTAGGAAGTGGGGACCTCCTACCCTAAGTTGGCTCCCCTCTGTCTAGGGTAGGAGGGGTAGCCTGGAAGACAGGTAGCTTCTGGCATGGTGGCATGTGGTGACCCCTTATTTATGGAAGTCTTCCCACCAGACTGGCTTAGCAGGGCCAGAGCACCTTTAGCAAATAAGGCGTTCCAGAACAATCAGCAGAAGAGCTTTTCCAAATTACTCCCTTGCTCCCTCTACAAGGGGCCCGTATCTATACTCCCCAGAGTGCTTTGGGAGCCCCCCAGTAGAGAACCAGATGAGTAATGCGGAAACGCAGGAGCTGGGCTATAGCCAAGAGTAGGTCCAAGAGGAGATCCAAGCAAAGCTGGGCTGCTGGGGCCAGACTGGGGTCAGACTGGGGTCCAGGGCGAGTCAGGGCTGCTCTGTAGGGCAGTGAGTTGGGCTGGCAGCCCGCTGGGCAGCTTCCAAGTGAGATCTGGGGCAGGTGGAGAGACTGAGTGTCTGAGAGCTATCTATGGGGCCTCTGAGAGGGACCTGAGGACCTCTGGCAGTCGGGATGTCACAGTCAGGCGTCAGAGCTAGAGTGGGGCAGTGCTGAATCTTTGGGAGAAGACACTCATCTTGAGGCCCACTGGCACCCCCAAAACCCCCATAAATTGAGCCAACCCCTGGGATCCTCAGTGAGGCCACAGAGAGAAAGTAGACTTGAAAAGATTCTAAGGGCACAAATGACGTCTCTTAATCATTTCTGCTGGAGCCACGGCAAGAAGCAGGCCTGTTCTGAGCAGGTGCCAAAGGAAGGGCAGAACCCCTGATGAAAAGCGAACACTAAGCTGATCAGGGGCCTGAGGCTATGTGTTCACCCCTCAAAACCTGCCTTCTCTTCATCTTGTACAGTGGGGATAATGGGAGGGCAGTTATATTTGTACAGAACTGAGGTGAGTGCCTGGCACAGAGGGAGCCCGCCACACACAGGTGCTTGGACTTAACTCCAGGGGAGGTGGTTCAGCTGTGGACCAAATGGCATGACCCATCAGGCCCCTGGAATATGAAGTTTGTGGCAGAGAAAGGAGATAAATAAATAAAGGTAAGGAGATAAATAAGTCAATTACAGCTTATGAAAAGTGCCACGAAGGGGTGGCATGAGAGAAGTGGGGAGCACTGTGTGTAGAAAGAGGTGCAGGGTCAGGCTCTGAACAGAGACCGGAAAAATGAGAAGGAATCAAGGGCTCGTGGTAGGTGTTAGGAATGTGTGAGAATATGGCAAGTGGTGTGGGGATAGCAAGTGCAAAGGCCCTGTGGTTAGGGGGAAGGGAGGGAATAAGCCCAGTGGCCCCACCTTCAGCACATGGGTTGCGCAGGAGGTTTCTGCGGAGGATGTGGAGGAAATAGAAGATCTTCCAGTCAGCCACAGGCTGGTCCCAGTCTGCAGTGATGAAGCCCTCCCGCAGGCACTTGCTCTTCCAGAGGGTCACCACATCGATAAGGTCGCGCCACAGGCTGCAGACCGGGCGGCAGCACAGCAGCAGCTGGCGGGCTGGCACGTGAGTGAAAATCTCCAGCAGGATGTTCTCAGGCAGCTCGTTGATGCTGACATGGGCCATGGCTCGGGTGGGGTGAGGTGCACACAGGCCTGTGGGGGGCAACGCGCTATGAACCATGACCAGAGAAGCCAGAAGATTCCCAGGGACCTAGGCCAGGCCACCTCTGATGCTATTTCCTCTTCCATGCACGCAGGGTTAGATGGGGAGCACTTGAGCCCCTCCCAGTACAGAGTAGACCCTCAAAATATGAAACAATCGTATGCTATACACAATTGAGAGAACACAATAAAAATATTAATAAAGTCTTTAGGGACTAATTTTTTAAAAGGCCCCTCCCTGCCTTTAGAAAACGTTGCTTCAGTTTAAGTTGGGGGGCCTGGTCAGCTGTAAGGTGGTGTGCGGCTCCCCTGCTTGGGGCTCCACCAGGATCTGCAGTGATACTTCAGTGCTGAGAACTGAAAATTATTCATCGTTCCAGAAAAAAAAGAGGGTTGGCTCACACCGGCTCCTGCCCTGGAGAAACATTTTATCACGGCAGGGAAAAAACATAAGGAACCTGTGCCTTGTGCAGAAGACTGATGGCTGCGTGGCCCGGTCCTCTCAGTTCCCAAGAGGAACCCTAAACATTTCTTGAAGTAGGAAACCTGCCTATTAACAAATGGTGGTGGTTTCTAAAAGCACGGTCTGGCCAAGGTCTGGGCCAAGGAGGAGCCGCTGGGCTGCGAGTCGGGGGAGTCGCTGGGGGGGCGAACTGCTCCTCACCTGGCTGCACGTGCTCGCGTCCCGCCCCCCCCCCACTCAGTCGGTCGTCAGCCCCGGAGGAAGGGGACCGGCAGGGGCGGGAGGGGTGAGGCCCCCGCGGCGCGACGGGCTTCCCGGAGCAGGCCCGGGGTCACGCGGCGCGGGCTTCTCCCCGCGGCCCTCCCGGAACCCCCAGAGGCACCATCGCTAGCCCAAGTCCCCGACAGCAGAAGCTAAGGAAAGCTGGTGCCCGGCGAAGGAGGTCGGGGAGACGCCGCGAGGGGCGGACGGGGGGCTGCAGACGCTGAGCCTGGTCCGGAGCCGCCGGCGCGGCCGCGAGGAGGCCCGGCAAGGGCCCGGGAAGCGCCGCGATCCGCAGAGCGAGACGGGACCTCGGCGGCAGGCCCCGCCCGCCCCGCCCCAGGCCCCGCCCCGCCAGGCCCCGCCCGGCCCCAGCCCGCCCCGCCGGCCCCGCCCAGGCCCCGCCCCGCCCCGGCCCCGAGGCCCGGCCCCGCCGCCTCACACGGAACCCTAAATCGGTGCGGCGGCGGCCGCGGGCTAACGCCCCGCCGCCCCACACCCAAACCCCCTCCCGCGCCTGTCGCCCCTCTACCTCGCCCCCTGCCCGTCCCGACGGGGCCGCGACCTGGGCGCCGGCAGGGCGCCCCGGCGGGACCGGAGCTCCGGGTCAAGCTGGAGCCGGAGGCCGCGGCTGCGCCATCCGCTCGCGCCCCGCCCCGCCCCGCCCCGCCCCGCCCCGCGCGTCACGCGCCGCGCCCGCCCCGCCCCCCGCCCCCCCGGCCTCGCCCCTCCGGCGAGCCGGGGAGGCCCTCGGGGCCGGGGTGCGCTCGGGGGGACCCGGCCTTGCTCTCCCGAGCCGCGGTCCTCCCCGGCGGCCGGCGGCGGCCGGGACCCAGCGCGTCCCTGACCAAGTCCCGGCCCGGCGCGGGCCGCTCCGCACCGCCCTCCGGGTCCTACCTGTTCGCTCCGCACCTGGGAGGAAGCGGGGCACCTCCCTACCCCTCCCCCCCGGAGGGTTTGAGCCCAGGGTGGACCTCGGCAGACTTGCGGGCGGAGGCAGAAACCTCTCAGCGTGTACGTCAAGGTGAAGTTCATCCATTCCTCTCCCCGGCGGGAATGGGGGGGAGGGGGGAATGTGGCCGGCACCTGCTCGAGGCTAGTGCAAAGGTGGTGCAGGCCGTGCTCCGCGCGAGCGCGCCTGCCTCCGGCCAGCGTTCACCCTGGCAGGCTGCGTCGTCCTCAGGGGTGTCTTTGGCCAGCTTGCTATACAGCTGGCGAGTGGTGCTCCTCTGATCTGGCTCACTGTGGAAGGAGCTGATTACATCTAACAATACTTACTGAGTACCCACTGTGTGCCAGGCACCACTCTAAGTGCTTTGGTTTCATCTAAGGTCATCAGGCTCTTGGCAGTGTTACCCCAATAAGAGGTGTTCACAAAGGTATTCGCAAGGGCTGGCCAGAGATAGCCACACACCCTGCCCCCCGCCCTGTGGCCAGGTCTTTAGGGGAAACTGGCAGCCCTAAGGGGCTGCTGGGGTGAGGTTTTTGCAGCTCAGCAAGGGTTTGTCCCCATACCCAGGTTCTGTGGTGGGCGGGCCTCTGAGGTGTCATCGCTCTCCGTACCTGGCACTGAAGCCCCTCATGTTGCCCCTTCTGCAGTTCCAGTCCAGGACCTCCCATAAGTTTGCCTTTGCTCCCAGAAACCACAGGGTGCGGGTTGGGCTGGGAACACCTTTTATTTGGCCGCATGCAGGACGGGCAGATCAGAGCACTGCTGTCCTTCCAGCAGGAGGGAGAGGCAGGAACGTGGCCGGGCAGGGTGGGGAATCCTGGGAATGGCAGTTCCAAGGGTGGGGTAGGGGCTTGGAATGCTCTCCAAGACACAGGGAGCCTGGCCTAGGCCTGGAGGTAGACAGGTGGTCCTTGAAAACCTCCTACCCCCGTCATCCAGGGCTCACATGTCTCAGCTCTTAGAATCAGGGCCCAAGTCTGCCCCCTCCCCCTGCCCTGGGTTACCAGGGGCAGGATTCTGGGGGGTCTTTTGGGAAGCCTCACCTCCACCTGGTTGCTATCTGGCTTCTGGGCTTCAGTGACAGTGAGGATAATCTCATACCAGACCTAGGTCTTTCTCCTGGGCCCCTAAGCCTGCCATCTCAGAACAGACTTGAACCTCTGGGCTAAGCCACCTCTGAGCACGGGGGCAGAGCAAGAGAACTTGGCAGTGGTGGACCTGAGCAGAGGACGACCAGCAGAGCCCTCCTTCCCAGATCTGTCTGAGCTACACAGCCACCTCGCAGCATCTGTGCTGTCCAGGGCTGCCAGATGTCCAACTGCCCCTGCTTCAGGGCCCTCAAAGATTGCGAGGGCCCAGGAGGTGAAGGTAGAGACACAGGTCTAGGCTGCCAGCTGAGCTTGGAGACCCAATCTCGGAGGAGCCTAGGGGATAAGCCTAGGGAATACCTTGTACCTGCCTAACCTCAGGAGCCCCATCTCTTAAAGAGCTCATGTGTGCCTTCCTGGCCATCATTCAGGTTGAGATCTTGGGTGCACAACTGGACCCCCCAGCATTTGAGGGCTGTACAGACTGAGAGGCTCCACAAAGAAAGGGAGAGGAAAGGATGAACTAGGAGGTCTGGGGGAGCCTGGCCTCCACCCTCCTTTTCCCAAGCCCAGCCTTTTATTCTGATAGTAGTTTACCAGTCAGGGGTTCGATGATTGGGTGTTCGGGGGCATCAGGGCAGCGGGGGCCCGATGGTGATGCTGCTGTTGGTGACTCTCGGGCCGTACCAGCCGGCCCAGTAGTGAGTGTCCACGCCGCCGTGCTGAAACCAGATGTAGCGGACGCCGGGCGGATAGTTGGAGAACGTGTGGGAGACCTGGGGGGGAATGAGGGGGACAGAGGTGGCAGCAAGGTCAGGGGAGCTCCCCCTGAGTGGGCAGGTGGGCCAGGAGCAGGCTGAAGTCTTGGTGCTGGACCAGGAGATGGTAGAACTTGATTCTAGTCCTGTGATTTGGGGCAGACCCCCTCCCCACTGAAACTCCCCTCAGCTTCCTCACCTGTAAAATGGACCAAATCCTGTTGGGCCCACTCTGTGGGTTTATGGTACAAATCCTTCCAAGGAACTGAAGGAAATGCTTTGCAAACTGTCCATTACTATCCCATATGGTCTTCATTGGGCATGTGTGACTATTTGAGTTAAAATTATATCCAATTAGGGCCTCCCCTGGCGGCGCAGGCGGTTGAGTGCTGCACTGCGAAGCTGTCCGCAGCCTCTGCAGTGCAGGTTCGATCCCGGATGGCTGGTGAGACACCCACATACCCTCCTGTCACGCCCCGCTGCTCCCCTCAGCAGTGTATTTCAGTCAATCTGCCTGTTCTGTTCCCCACTCTGTCTCTGGTGAATCCTCTCACCTTCCTGCACATCTGGCCCATACTCCGATTCTTGTATACATAAACCTTTTAAAAAAAATTATATCCAATCAACTCAGTTCCTTAGTCCTATTTGTCACACGAGCCTACTGGCTACTGTACTGGACAGAGCAGACCATTTCTGTCACTGTGGAAAATTCTACTGGACAGCACTGGTCTAGATCAGGAGTTGGCAAACTAGCCTATGGGCCCGTTGCTTGTTTTTGTAGCTGAAGTTTTTCAACATCCATTTGGTTACACCTTGTCTGAAGTTGCATTCACAAGACTGGAGTAGGTCGACAGAGACAGGCGTGGCCTGCAAATCTACAATATTTGTATCTGGCCTTTAAAGTCAACATTTGCTGACCCCTGGTGGAGATAATTGCAGGAACCTACATCAGGAAGTGGTAAGAGTCAACCTTTTGAACACTGCTTGAACGTGGCTTTACCAGAACCATCTCACCCGCCGCTCTCAGTGCTCAGCGCGGCTGAAGCCCAGGTGCGCAGAGGCAGAGTGGGGATGGGAACCCAGGCTTGTCTGTGTGCAGGTGCAGCTTTGGGATGTCGCCCGTCCCCTTCCCGGACCACATACCTCCCTCCATTTGGCATCGCTCTTCTTCTGGATCGTTGCTGGGTCTGGCTGGAAGGTCCCCAGAGGAGCGTGCGCTGACGACAGGAGCTGAACGCACAGCTGGTACTTGGACCCGCAGTCTGGCCTGGCTGCGAACCTGTAGGCAGAGGGAAGGCCCATCAGGGCCTCGCAGGTAGGGGGCAGGGTGGGGGTGGGGCGCCTGAGTGGCAGGCCCCCCACCCAGACCCTCGCCCCAGGCACTCACCAGTCCTTGACCTCGATGTCCGGACGTGTGGTGTCCATCAGCTCCTCCCAATACCCTTCGGCCTTGAGGTCCACCACCTGGGACTTGAGGCAGGTGCTGGGGGAGCAGGTGCAGGTGGAGGGGTGGGAGGGGCTGGGGCTCACCACTTAGGGCACTGGGGGTCTCGAACTGCCCCTCCAAGAGCAGAAGTCCCACGATGAAGTACCTTGGGCTTCCCCCATCCAAGATCACCTGCCGCCCCCCCCCCCCCCGTCACCCCCTGCCTTGGATCTTACTAATAAGAAGTCACGAAGTATTTCTTGACCTGCTCATTGGGGAATTCCTTCCTCTGGTCTCCAGAGAGATCCTCCACCTTCCACTCGTCGCCTCCATTCACATCCAGGCTCCAGAATTCAAATCCCTCTGTGGGAGACCAGAATTCACATCAAAAGGAAGCCCCTCGGGGATCACCTTCTCCCAAGTGCCCCTTGCCCCTGGCTCATCTCCCTGGATCTCGGCAGCTACCCTCCAGCCCTGTGCCCTGTGCTGTGGGGCACTGCAGATCAACAGTGTCCACCTGGTAATGGGCACTGCTTGTGCCCCCTCTCTGTGATGGGGACAGTCTAGTCCCAGTTCTAACATTACTGGGCTGTGTAACCTTTGACAAGTTGCTTTTCCTCTCTGAGGCTTGGTTTTGTCCTCTGTAAAATGGGATTAAGAATAGAGGCGGGGGCCTCCCATGGTGGCGCAGGCGATTGAACGCCATGCTGTGAAGCTGTCCCACAGCCTTTGCAGTATGGGTTCGATCCCGGCCGGCCAGGGAGACACCCACATGGCACGGCAGACCTCTCCTGTCTCGCTCACTGCTCCCCTCAGCAGTGTGTTTCCGTCAGTCTGCCTGTTCTGCTCCCCTTTCTGTCTCTGGTGAATCCTCTCACCCTCCTGCACATCTGGCCTGTACCCCATTCTTGGATGCATGAATAAATAAATGTTAAAAAAAAAATCTTAAAAAAAAATAGAGGCGGGCCAACCACTCTGTCTCTGGTGAATCCTCTCGTCCCCCATACCTCTGGCCTGTAGCCCAGTTCTTGTATGAATAAATAAATAAATCTTTAAAAAAAATAGATGCTGCCAATTATGGAACAGTATAGAAATTTGTCAAAAAAAATAAATAAAAACAGAACTACGATATGTTCAAATAATTCCAGTTCTGGGTACTCACCCGAGGAATATGGAAACACTAACTTGAAACAAATATGCACCCCATGTTCATTGCAGTACTACATACAACAGTCAAGATACAGAAACCCCCAAGTGCCCAGTGACAGAGGAATGGATAAAGATGGACTGCACATACACAATGGAATACTACTCAGCCATAAAAAAGAGGAACCCTCGCCATTTGTGAAAACATGAATAGACCTTGATGATACTGTGTAAATGAAATAGATTAGAAGAAGACAAATTCTGTATGATTTCACTCATTTGTGGGCTATAAAGAAGACAAAACCAAAACAAACCTTTAAACTCTGACTACAGGGACCTCCCTGGTGGCGCAAGGGGTTAAGCACCACACTCTAAAGCAATCCACAGCCTCTGCAGCACGAGTTTGATCCCCAGTCAGCCAGGGAGCAACTGACATGGTGAGGTGGGCCTCTCCTGTATCACCCGCTGCTCCCCTCAGCAGTGTATTTCAGTCAGTCTGCCTGTTCTGTTCCCCGCTCTGTCTCTGGTAAATCCTCTCACCCCCACACCTCTGGCCTGTACCCCATCTCTTGTATGCATAAATAAATAAATCTTTTTAAAAAATAAGCAAAAATAAACTCTAACTACAGGATGATGGTTACCAGAGAGGACAGAAGGGAGAGACCCAGTAGAAGGGGCAGATTGGTTGGCGGTGGATGGTGACTGGACATTTGGTGGTAGGCTTGGGGAGAAGATGTAATTTGGAACCTATATAGTGCTGAAAACAAATGGTGCTTCAATTAAAAGAAAAAAATATTGTAGATCTATACTGCATGACATGGAAATATGATAAACTAAAAGAAAAAAAAGTTACTAGACTCTGTACAGCCCAGTACTATTTCTGAAGAAATATGTGTTTAAAAAAAAAAAAAGACACTCAGGAGGGAAGGGAGAGAAAAGGGGGGAGTAGAGAATGGGGAAGAGGAGGCGCAATGGAGGGTGGTGGAGGACTGTGAGCACTTTGTGGTGGGAAAACTATGGCGACTGTACTTAAAGGAAGAAATCTTATATTGTGAAAAAAATAAGAAGGCAGTTTAAAAACTAAAATTAAATTAAAAAGAAAAAGACATATCACAGCGATTATCTTTGGATGGTTGAATGCAAGATTTTAGATCTATATAAAAGTTAGTTTGTATTTCACTTAGCTTGTATTTTCTCCATTCATACAATGAATATTACATCTGTAGGATAATTTTTTAAAAGAAAAATCAGGCTGGAAAATGTTTTATGTAAAGGGCCAAAAGTATTTTAGGATTAGTAAATTGCTGACTATCTTTGTCATATATATTATATATATAATTGATCTACTTTTTTTTCTTAAAAAAAACAAACAAACAAAAATCCCTTGGGCCTCCCTGGTGGCTCAGCGGGTTGAGCGCAGTGCTGTGAAGCTTTCTGCAGCCTCTGCAGCGTGGGTTCCATTCTCGGCAGGCCAGGGAGATTCCCACATGGCACGGCAGACCTCTCCTGTCTCGCCCGCTGCTCCCCTCAGCAGTGTATTTCGTTAGTCTGCCTGTTCTGTTCCCCACTCTGTCTCTGGTGAATCCTCTCACCCTCCTGTGCCTCTGGCCTGTACCCCAGCTCTTATATAAAAATAAATAAATCTTTAAAAAAAAAAAAAACCCTTTATAACAATAAAAACTGTCTTAGCTCCCAGGTCTAATTTGGTGTAACTGCTGGTCAAGGGAGTCGAGTGAGGGGGTCACCTAAAAGCTTGGTGTTGTCTGATCATTGTTTTGCTCAAAACTTGGCCCCATGATGGAGAATGAGGAAGAGAGTTCTAGAAGACTATAGAAACCTTGTTTTACCTCTTGTAACATGCTTGGAAAGAAGCCCAGATCTCCCATTTTTCCACAAGCAAAGCCCTCTTTGCCCTCTGGGACAGGCCCAGATAGTTCTGGGCCTGAGTCTGGCAATTAGACCCACAAACACCCCCTGACTTCCTGGTCTGGAGCCCCGGGCACAATTAGTCCCAACTGGCTAACACTGTCATTCTTGGGAAAGATCACGGCGGGAATAATCTGAAGAGCGGAATACGAAATGCCACCCTCGGTGTCGTCTGCCCACCCGAGAAACAGGTGCCGTCCCCACCTCTTAGGATTACTGTGAGGATTAAAGGACTTCAGTTATGAGCCCCACTCACAGTAAGTGCTTAATGCATGTCGGCTGGTGTCATGACAGTGCGTGTGTTGGGGGAACCCCAGCCCCCTCTGACCCCACCTTCGGCACATGGGTTGTGCAGGAGGTTCCTGCGGAGGCTGCGGAGGAAGTAGAAGATCTTCCAGTCGGCCACAGGCTGGTCCCAGTCCGCCGTGATGAAGCCCTCCCGCAGGCACTTGCGCTTCCAGAGGGTCACCAGGTCGATGAGGTCGCGCCACAGGCTGCAGACCAGGCGGCAGCGCAGCAGCAGCTGGCGGGCGGGCACGTGGGTGAACAGCTCCAGCAGGATGTTCTCAGGCAGCTCATTGATGTTCCCCACGGCCATGGCTGGACTCCTGCTGGGGTGACCACACAGCGCTGCTTCAGGGGCCTGTCCACCCCCTGTCTCCAGCGGGGTGCTGGAGGTCACTTACTATCTCAGGAAAGTCCCCGGGACCTGTCTGAGCCTCAGTTTCCTCCTCTGTAAAATGGGTCCAGGTACAGTGCTGACCTGGGGGGGAGGGGGCTTCAGAGCCAGTGACACTGCAGATGCTCTACAGAAGGTGTTTTTTTCCTTCCTGCCCTACAGTCTCCACAGGAGGCCCGAGGAGGTGCAAAGACCTGCCCGAGGTTACACAGACAGGGGTGAGGCCGGGAGGACCCCATGTTCTGATTCTGGAGCCAGCCCTTTCCCAGGGCCAGTCTTGAGAACGAGCTGGACAGGGCCTGCAGGTGCCTCCTGGAATGGCCTCTCCTCCGGAGAAGGGGCAGGGATGACCGTCATTGCCTTGGACAGAAGGCCAAAGGCTCAAGATTCTGCAGGGGAAACCATCTGCCTCGCTAGGCCCAGAAAGGGGGTGCGCCGGGGAAAGGCCTTTCCCGCGCCCCCACCCGCGGGCTGAGCTCCGGCCCCTGATCCCCGCCCCTCCCGGCGCGCCCACGGCTCTTCACCCCACTCCTCCGCTGTGGGTTCAGCATCTCCCCCAGCCGGGCACGGGCCCTGCGCGGCGATGGCGACCCCACTCCGGGTGCCGCCCGGCTGCGCTGCCCCCGCGGCCTGGGCCCTGCTCGCGCGGCGCGGCCGGGAACCGAGGGGGTCGCCTCCCCGCCCGCGGGCCCGGCCCTGCCTCGGCGCCCCGCCCCCGCCCGCGCCCGCGCCCCTGCCGCTCCGCCGGTCACCTGCGCCCCGCGCCCCGCCGGTCACCTGCGCCCCGCGCCCCCCGCGGTCCCGCGCCCCGCGCCCCCGGTCACCTGCGCCCCGCGCCCGCCGGTCACCTGCGCCCCGCCGCGCCGGTCACCCGCGCCCCGCGCCGCCCGCCGGTCACCCGCGCCCGGCCGCCGTCACCTGCGCCCGCCGCCGCTGCGGGCTCGCTCGCTCGCCGTGGGTGCGCCGCCGCGGCCTGCAGAGGCTGGTGGGTGCGCCCCGCCCCGCCCCGCCCCCGCCCCGCCCCCTGCGGGCCTCCCCGCGCCCGCGGGCCCCGGGGACGCGCCCCCCGCGCCACAGAGGAAAATAACCAGCGCGGGGGTGCGGGGGAAGCCTCCTGCCCCTCCCCCGCCCGGGCCGGCGGCCCCGCACCCCGCCTGACCCAGACTCTCCCCGCTCGCTCCCCGCCCTCCCCTTCCCGCGGCCCCCCAGAAAGGAGACGCTCCCATCCCGGGCCCCCCATTAAAAAACCCACCCCCACAACAAACCCGGCTCCTGACCTTCCCGGCCGCCCGGGCGCGCCGCGGAGCCGGCAGCTCAGGCCCGGCCGGGCCGACCCCCCGACTGCGGGGCGCCCGGGCGCGGGGCCAAAGGCGGGGCGGGGCGGGGGCCTTTAAGAGGCGGCGCGGCCGGACCCGGCTCCGCTGGGCCGCGCCTGGACTCGCCGCCGGACGGGCCGCGCTCCTGCTCCTCCGCCTCCCGCGACCGCCTCTGCAGCGATGGACGGAGACGGCGACCCAGGTAGCCGCCGGCTGCAGCCCGGGAGGGGGCCCGGGGCCGGCGGGCGAGCGCCACGAAGAGGGGGCGCGGGGAGCCGCGGCTCCCACCCCGCGCGCAAACTTTCACCCGAGCAAAACCCTGGAGGCGGCTCCAAAGAGCACAGTCCCTGCATCTCGGCCTCGCAGGAGGCCCGGAGAGGGGACAGGCAGGGAGGGCGGCTCCTGGGGCCTCTTCAGCCGGAGCCGTCAGGGGAGTAACCCCACGATTCTGCTGACCTCCTCCCGAGGGGCCCCCGTTTGGGACGCGTCTGGACGGAGGAGGCCACAAGCCTTTTTCTTCCACCAACTTCTGTTTGGCCAAGAGCTGCTTGAAACCCCGTGGATTTCTTGGGGTTCCTGATTTCTCCCCAACCCATCCTAGCCTTCGTTGTGGGCTTCCTTGTCTGGAGGTGGCTGGGTGAAGGGGATCAAGCCAGCGGTGAGGAAGAGTTGGGGTGCCAGCCTTATGCTCAGGGCCCTCAGAGACTGCCCAGTCATCTTGTCTGGCACCAAAGCCCCTTCCCCCCCAATTCCTCTAACTCTCTGCTGGGCCTCTGGGGGTTGCCTGCTGAGTCAGGGTGGGAGCAACCTGCCTGCTGATGGCCCCACCTGCCTGCCCCAGGACTTTCTGGAGTGGGCATTGCTGGGGGAATGCAGTGGAAATGGATGCTCACGCAGGTCGCCAACTCCCCCTTTCCCAGCCCTGAAAAATCACAGCTTCTTGAGCCCCACTTCCATCCGTGGCCCCCTCGCCACACCCTTTATAGGGCAAATGGGTTCCTGCTTTTTCCCAGGGCCCAGCTATTCCCTGGACTCCGGGGCCCAATCCAGGTGAGTGAATCAGCCTCAGCGGCAGCTTCCAGAAGCCAGATAACTTTCCGACAGCAACAATGTGGGGAGTTGTGTGTGCTCAATAGGGGGTGGGGGGCCTGTAATCAGATCTGGGGCCTCAAGTGCCAGGCCTGGGGCCAGGAGGGGGGACCCTGCGAGGTGCACCTTTCGGAGGAGCATCAGGTGTCCACGGGGCCAGGGCAGGGCAGAGGGAGGGGTGGAGAGGTGAGGGCATTGGGCCCAGCTCCCCAGAGAGCTGTGGGCAGCAGAGGCAGGCGCCGGGGCCCCAGGGCCTGGCATTTTCCTCTCTGCCTTCCCACTGTTCTTTTGGGGTGATTTGGGATAAACTAGCAAGCCTCTCTGGGCCTCGGTTTCCTCTTTGCCAGAAGGGCGGGGGTAAATACCCCATCATTACGATGGAGCAGGGGGGCAGGAAAAAATACAGTAGTAATGAAGGGAAAGGCTGTGTTGATAAGACTCACCAGATAAGATTTACCGAGGCCTCGATGTGAGCCCTGAGGTCCAAAGAGGTAAGCCCTGGTTCACTCAGGGTGGGACTGCCTGGGAGGGGGACAAATACTGTGTGTGCAGGTGAAAGGCTGGGAGGCTGAGGCCCTGGCAACACCCAGATTTGGGTCTAGGCCTGTCACCTCCCCCAGTGCCCAGCCCGTTTCCACCACCACCCTGGCTTTCCAGCTGCCCGCCCCAGAAAACCTGTCCGGGGTCTGAAAGCCCAGCCTCCCCATCATCAGATGGCTCCAGCTCCTCCCTGCTGGCTCTCCCTCCTCCACGGCCGCTGGGCACTCGGTCTCTCCTTACTCCAGGGTGCTGTAGCCCAGCTGAGGCCAGCTGGGGTCCAACAGAAGTCCAACCTGCAGCTCCTGACTCTCCCTCCCTCCTTACAGTTTCCATGGCCTGGCCCATCCTCAGCACCGGCTGAATGGATTACCCCATTTTATAGATGAAGAGACTGAGCCAGGGATGGGAAAAGAAGGGGTGAAGATACCTGCCTATTTGATAGATGGGGTCTCTTTTAAGTTGCCCCTCCAGGCTCCCCGAGTCACACAACTGTGGCTGGCTGGGGACAGCTGGGCCCCCAGCCGTTCTAATACTAGCCTCAGCCTGCCCTAATACTGGCCGTGTGACCTTTGGGAAGTCCTTTCACATCTCTGAGCCTGCACTTTCATCTGCAAAATCAAAACCCAAGAGGCCTCCTCAATCAATGACATGGAGGCTGTGGAGGTGGAAGGTGGTGCTGGCGCTGGACCGCCTGGGTTCAACTCCAGGCTCCAGCCACTAATTTGCTGTGTGATTCTGAGCTTTTTCACCACCGTGTGCCTCAGTTTCCCATCCATAAAATAGAGATATGGCAAAAGGAACAACCTCCAGGGGTGCTGTGAGGATTTACAGCACCTACAATGAAAATGCTCAGAACAGCCCTCAACACTTGCTCAGTGCCCGGTAAACATTTAGTGTGCCAGGCAGGGTGCCAGAGGCCAGGCACCGGGGATGACATAGTTCCTCCCGGGCCAGTTCCTGCCCTCATGCTCTCAGTCTCATCCTGAGAAAGGCATTCTTCAAACCATCATACCCTAGAGCCAAAGCTGGATGGAGACAGGAACTCTGGCTGTGAGTGTAAAGGGGGTGATCTCCGGGGGGCTTCCTGGAGGAGGTGAAAGCAGCAGGGATTTCAGAGGTGGTTGGGAGGACTGACGGTGTTCACCGTTAGGGATGCCACGAATAATACCAGTTGCTGTTCTCTGCTCAGGTATGGAGTTGACTGCCCTGCAGGGGAAACTGAGGCTGCTCCCTCTTCTGAGGGCCTGGCCTGCGGCCTCGGGCTCCCGGGGCTCCTCTGGGCGCAGGCTCGGGTCACAGCACCTGCAGCTCCAGCTGCGAGTTGTCCGAGGGTGGGTGGGCACGGCTACTGCACACGCCGCGGTGCTGCGGCGAGGCGGGGAGGGGACCCTTCTGGAGGGAGTCACAGCAACCCCTGCCCCCCTAGAGAGCGTGGGCCAGCCGGAGGAGGCGAGCCCGGAGGAGCAGCCGGAGGGGGCGTGCGCGGAGCCGGCCGACGCCGAGGAGCAGGGGCCGGAGGAGCAGGAGGGCGAGGGGCCGGCGCAGCTGGACGAGCTGCCCGAGCCGCTGCTGCTGCGCGTGCTGGCCGAGCTGCCGGCCGCCGAGCTGGTGCGCGCCTGCCGCCTGGTGTGCCTGCGCTGGAAGGAGCTGGTGGACGGCGCCCCGCTGTGGCTGCTCAAGTGCCAGCAGGAGGGGCTGGTGCCCGGGGGCGGCGCGGAGGACGAGCGCGACCACTGGCAGCAGTTCTACTTCCTGAGCAAGCGGCGGCGCAACCTGCTGCGCAACCCGTGCGGGGAAGGTGAGGGGCCTGCGGGCGAGCTCAGCTTCCCCTGCAGTAAATGGGCCCTGACAGTGCCGGCCCGCTTTGAGGGTTAAATGAGAGAAAGGGCTTGGCACGGTGCCCCCACAGAGTAACCCCAATAAACACTGTGCAGCTGATCCTTGAACGCTTTGGGGGTGAGGGGCGCCCGCATTGCTGTACCCCAGGCCCCAGTCGAAAACCCGCAGCTGGCTCTCCATATACACGGTCCCGCATTTGCAAATTCCACGAACTGGCATCCCTGAAGGCTGAGCCACTGGAAGGGGAAAAATCCGACTGTAGAGGCACCAGCACGGCCCAAACCCCGGCTGTTCAAGGACCAGCTGTTACTGGTATCGCCCCAGCTGCCTGTGCCCTGGGGGCCTCCTTCCCAGGTCTTCCCACCTGCCCCCCATGAGCTGGCACAGGCCAGGCCCCAGGGGGACAAACAGGTGCCCACCCCTCAGTCCCACCACGATCTGCCCGCGCTGGCACCATCAAGGCACCACGTGCATCCCTCCCCCACTGCAGGGGCGAGGGCCGCAGGCCTGGGTGACCTGGGGGGCCTGTCCTGTCCCTGCAGAGGACTTGGAGGGCTGGTGTGATGTGGAGCACGGGGGCGACGGCTGGCGGGTGGAGGAGCTGCCTGGAGACTGCGGGGTGGAATTCGTCCACGACGAGACTGTCAAGAAGTGCTTTGCCTCCTCCTTTGAGTAAGGAGCAGGGGGTGGGGAGGAGGGGGAGGGGGGTCCCCACTCCGTCCTGACGCCGGTCCCCCTAGGTGGTGTCGCAAAGCGCAGGTCATTGATCTGCAGGCCGAGGGCTACTGGGAGGAGCTGCTGGACACCACCCAGCCGGCCATCGTGGTGAAGGACTGGTGAGCGGCCAAGGCCCGGGCCAGGCCGGGGGTGGGTGGAGGCCGGCTGGAGCCCACTGTCCAGCCCGGGGCGCGCCCCCAGAGCGGTGGCTGCACACGGGCCACCGGTTTACAGTGGGTGGAAATCCGCCTCCTGTTCTGAATTTCAAATGTGAGCAAAGTTTATTGTTTTAAACGTATCTGCGGCCCAAACAAAACGCGTCCCGGGCTGGCTTTGGCTCCAGCTCTGGGTCTAGCTGAGCTGGGGCTCAGACCTTGGGCTTGCATTTGGCTCTCTGGCTTCAGTTTCTTTAACTGTGAAGCGAGGACACGGGTGGCGGGGCGGGCGGGGTTCGGAGGCGTCCCTGAGAGCAGCGGAAGACCCGGCCTGCTTACCTGCTCGGCAGGGCTGAGGCCAGAAGACCCGGCCTGCTCACCTGCTAGACGGGGCTGAGGCCAGCCGGGTCGCGCTTCCTCCCTGGGGGCAGGTATTCGGGTCGCAGCGACGCGGGCTGCCTGTATGAGCTCACGGTGAAGCTGCTGTCCGAGCACGAGGACGTGCTGGCCGAGTTCAACAGCGGGCAGGTGGCCGTGCCGCAGGACGACGACGCGGGCTGGGTGGAGGTGAGCTCGCGGGGCGGGGCCTGCGCTCCGGGGCGGGCCTGCGCTCCGGGGGCGGAGCAGGTGGAGGCCCCGCCCACCGCGCGGGGCGGGCCAGGGCTGGCGGGTTGAGCGGTGGGCAGGCGGGGCGCTGCGCTGAGAAATGGAGGGGGGCTAGTCGCGGGTCAGCGCGCAGGTGTGGTGGGGCGATGGGAGAGGGGCGGGGTGGAGGCCTCAGAGCCCCGAGTCTGACCCTTCCTCCTCCCCGCCCCCCACCCCCGCCCCCCAGATCTCCCACACCTTCACCGACTATGGGCCCGGCGTCCGCTTCATTCGCTTCGAGCATGCGGGACAGGACTCGGTCTACTGGAAGGGCTGGTTCGGGGCCCGGGTGACCAACTGCAGCGTGTGGGTGGAGCCCTGAATGGCCCCACCTCCAGCTTCCCCGCCGCCCGCCCTCGAGGCGGGTACACTGGCCTTAGCGGTAGCAGCCTCACCTGCCCCACCCCACGCGCCCCTCTCCTCTCCAGGCCCAGTCCTCGCGCCGGGGGTTTGCTGGCATATGTTTGCGCCTAGGACATGAGATGGGAGAAGGCATGGGCTTGGCCTGGGCCCACCACAGAAATCCCTGCACCTCGTACTGCGCCTGCCACAAAGTGGGCGCTCAATAAATATTATTTGCCCGAGGAAGGAATGAATGAACAAACGGACGAATGAACTCCCCTGCCCCTGCCCCTCGCACGCATCCTTCTCTGTCTCCTGACGGCCCCTGGCCCAGTCTGGAAAAATACTTGGTGAGGCGCCAGCTGCTCTGGTTTCCAGGGGCCCTTGGCCTGGTGGGAGCCAGCCAGACCTGGGCCGGCGCACAAAGGCTGGGATTGTGAGGGCAAGGAGTGGGGAGCCAGGCCTGGCGCCTGACTGACACCCTAGCTGCCCAGGGACCAGGGCCCGGCGTGGGGTGGGAGCTGCCCTCCCCAATCCCTCCATCCCTTTCTGAAGCCAAGATGATGGGTGAGGGGGGCAGCATCTTATCTGGGGCAGGAATCCCCCTACCCTCCCCCCCCATGGATGCCAGTGCTTGGGGTGAGGGTAGAAGGCGGAGGGGGGAGCACAGACAGGGTCAGCTTCATGTCCCTCTTCAGTTCCCAGGCACGTCACGCTGTCCTTGGTCTGCTATTGGATTCCATGGGTGTCATTAACATCTGGTCCCTTTGGTCATTTTCCATGCCCTGCCTGGAGGCTGGCCCTGGCACTGCTCTTCTGATGTGGTGCCAGACTCTGTGCCAGGCACACTCTAGACTTCCCACCAGTTCTCAAACCCAGTTCCTCCCCAGGACACTCAGCTGCTGATCCAGGGGGTCATGGGTCTCCAAACAGCACCCCCTCCCCTCCAGTCAAACTCCATGCTTTCCACCTGCTGGTCACGGGGAGGCCAGGGTCTGAGCTGGGGCCTGCCTGCACTTCTCCATTGGTTCATTCTTTCATTGGTTCATTCTTTCATCCGTTCATTCACGAGTCCTGAAGCCCCCAACCCCCACCTGGCCCTGAAGTTACAAGGGTGAGCAAGACAGTCCTAGTCCCAGGAGATGTCAGGTGCCTGGCCATGGATGAGGCATGCTGGGAAGGGACAAATCCTATGTCCTGGGGGGCCTCCAGTCTAAGAGTAGAGGCACTGTAGCTACACTGGAGCCCCCCCTCACCCTGACTGGGGAGACAAGCCCTGAACTCAGAGACTCCCAGCCTGAAGGTGGAGGCACAGCCTCTGCCCACAGGCACCCTTGGGTCCTTGTAGGGGATTTCAGTCTAATGGGTAAGGCCATCCACACCCACATGAGTTGCTCACTCCCCCCCCCCCCGCCCTGAGCTTCCTGGTTTAAGTGAAGGAGTAACAGGAAGGCCATGTTTAGGGGTGAGAGGCCAAGATGGGCCTGTGAGAGCCACATGGGGATGTTAGGAGGGGATGGAAACCCCATGGGGTCTACAGGAGGAGGTTGGAAGGGATGAAGGCCGGGACCCAGGGCCAGGACCTGTGAGGACTGGATGGCAGGGCAGGAATATGGGGGGGGGCATGGAGGGTGCTGAGCTCCACCCAGGAAAGGAGCCCAGGAGGGTCCCTGGCTGTGCGCTGCAGAGTCAGGTATTGAAGGGGGGCCAACAGCCAAAGCCAAGGGCACTGGTGAGGGCCAGGAGCAGGCATGCAATGAGGCAGGAGAGGGCCCAGAGAAACCTCTACCTTTGGGGCCATGAGGGGGGAGACAGAGCAGTCAGGGAGGTGGGGCAGCTGGCAAGAACAGGGATCCGATGCCAGCTCACTGCAGGCTCGCAGAGGAGGAGCCAGAAGCTCAGAGGCCAGATTCTCTGCCCTGAGGCACTATGGTCTCTCCCCAGGGTGTGGGGCCCACAGAGAAGACTTCAGCTCAGCTAATGGGGTGCCTCTCGCTGGGGGGGACAATTGGATGCACCACTTTTTTAGCTCAGGAAGGTGAGACAACTGCTCCAGAGTTATCAAAAGGCAGAAGCAGTGGGAGGAGGTGGGCCCGCCAGGCTTTCAGGGCACAGGCCGGCCCTGTGCGACCACCCCCATATCCCAGAGGAGAGGGGACAGAAGAGGACATTGTTACTCCCTTCTGCATGGGAGAATGAAAGACTTTCCTGGCACGTAACACATGAAAACTGGAGAAGTTCAAGTTTCAACGCAGGTGCACCTGGCCCTAAAGTGTGTGCTCTAATGTCTCGGCATCATCGCCCCGCACTCCAGGGAGCAGAGCCCCCACCACAGGAGAAAGCTATTAGCTTCCTTCAAGGAGAAACCTACACATGCCCTGCAGGGGCACTCAGACCCCCTGTGCTGTCTCCTAAGAGCCTTTCTAATCAATCTATATTTATTGAGCAACTACTATCTGCCAGGCAGGGATAAAACAGACAAGAACTCTGCCCTCCTGGAATATACAGTCTAGCTAATGAAACAAACACAAACAGCTATCTAGAAGAATAAAATAATTACTAACATGATATTTCACAATAACTTTATAAAGTGAAGCTATTAATACTTCCATTTTTATAGAAGAGAAAACAAGGAAAGCAAGGTTAAACCACTTGCCTGAGGCCATGCAGCTAGTAAGTGGTGGAGCTGGAGTTCTACCCAGCCAGCTAGGCATTTGACCTTTGTATTATAGTAAACAAAGTAGAGAGTGAGGACTGAAGTGCTACTTTGGTCAAAGTGATCTCGGAGGACTTCTCTGAGGAGGTGACACTTGGATGTGAGGAGAAACCAGCCGCATAGATCTCTGGGGGAAGAGAGCTGCAGGGACAGCAAGTGCAAATGTCCTGAGGTGGGAATGAACCGACAAACACATCAGAAAAGCAGTCAGCCTGACTGGAGCTCATGAGTAAGTGGGAAGTGGCTTGATATGAGGTTGGAGGTGTAGGCAGGCAATGCTGGAGAGGACCTTCTGTGTGCTCTGCCCTAGAGGGTACAGACAGTACAGGCAGCAGGTATATCGGTTTCCTTTAGGAGAAACATTTCCTGTTTAGCAGGAGCTGGGGGCAGTTAGCAGCAGCAGCAGCAGCATCTTAGTCTAATCGCTGAAAACAAGTTTCTCAAGAGTAACAGGATGATCTGGATGACGACAACACGATGATGATTTAATGCGGCTGTGACAGACATGTGCGAATACTGGCTCATTTATTCTGCTCAAAGTCCCCTCTGGTAGATACAGACACCCCCACTTTACAGATGAAAGAGCTAAGGCCCGGAGAAGTTGAGTCACTCCTCAGGGTCATTCAATGAATGAGTGATGGAGGCTCTTCAACCCAGCTGAGCTGAATTTCCAGCTCATGTTCTAGCTGTTCAGTGTGGCACAGGATCAGAGGTTGGCACAGGGCACCCACTAGGGGACAGAGCAGAACCCAGGGACTCTGGAGTTGAAGATGATCAGGTCTTGGGGCTCCAGGGCTCTCTCCCATTGCTCCAGGCAGGAGGAGGGTGTGCTAAGTCTTTCTGGGCCATTTTGGTTAAGGGATCTGGGGAGGTAACATGATTTTTTGAGATTTCATGGTGGAGCCCTCTATTTAAGCATTTTCCAGTGGAGCAAATTGCTCCTTCAACTTTCTGATTTATTTACTTTTTCCAGCTGGGTTTTGAGCACCTCAGATGGCTGAGGACATAGGCAGGCAGGAAAGGCCAGTTCCTCCAAGCACCACGAGGTGTCGGCATTGTCAAGGGAGTCCCCACCTCCAGGCAGAGGAAGGGGCCGCAGAAGTGGGGTTCGAATCCCAAACCCGATTTCTTTCCATTTCCTGGAGCCGAGTCTGGGTAAGGATCTGAGCTTTCTGCTTCATTTGGGGGCTGCTCTTACATAGAGGCTGGGTCCTTTCAGACCTAATTCCTATAAGTCTAGAATGAGCTGGTTGTCTCCAGGAACCCAGACCCAGCTAAGTCCAGGAGCCTAGACCCTGGCCCTCCACCCCAGTAGGCCCCCACCTGCGATGAGCCCCGCAGGCCTTTCTCATGGCCTCCTGCCTGCAGTGAACACAACACCCAGGCCGAGGTGATCTTGATCGCCTGGTGAGTAATGACTTTCCTATTGCGCCCCCCCCTGTAAATTAAACCTAATCTTGTGTTGACTCTGCTGAACAAGGAGAATAATGAAGAAGATTAAGATGAGATGGTATGCATGCTCCTCCAACAAGAGCCAATTAATTGTCAGCAGGATTACCGCCCTGCGCCGGAGCAGCCACCAGCTCTGCAGATGGGTGGGCAGGGCCGTGGCGGGCTCCGCGCTGTTCCATCAGGGGCTGCTGGGGATGCAGCAGGAAAGATTTCAGCTAGACACAAGGTAGAACTGCCGGGGTGCGGGAGGAGGCCAGGTCACCGAGGGGGATGTGGAGTGCGTGGAATCGCACACGTGAAGTCTGTAAGACACAAAGGTGGTTCTCTGGGAACTCCTAGACCCCTGTGCAGTCTGGACATTTGCTTCCTGAAACTCTGGACTCCATGTCCATCTCCAGTCCAGGCCACCTGGCCCTCTCCTCCGTCAAGGGCTCTCTCTGTGACAGGTCCATTCTAGGGGTTGCCTTTGATAAATGAACCTGCATGCGGGGTCTCGGCACCCTCCCCACTCTGCTTTCCCTCTTTCTCTCCCAGAAATTGGGGAGGTCACTTTTCCAGGGTGAAGAGCATGGATGCAGAGGAACATCTGGGTCTCGCGCTGGCTTTGCCCGTGCCCTCATCTGCAAAAACAGGGCCTGCAACCCCATCTGCCAACTTTGCTTTGCTGCTCCAAGGGGCTAATGCCCCCAAGGCCCCCTCCCAGCTCCTAGCACCCACTGGGTCTCTGCAACAGAGGAGACACTGAAGCTTGGTCAACTGCTAAGATGAGGCCGCTGTTGATGGAGGCCGGCGGGAAGCAACATCTGTTAATCTCCTTCCTGTCTATATCTTCTTGTCTGTTCCCTACCTCAACCCTCTGGGGGAGGCTTCATTTCAATCCCCTAATTATAGTAGAGGAAGCCAAGGCCCTGCGAGGTGGGCCTCATGTTGGGGGTCACAGTTGTAACTGCAGTGCTGGCTGGGGTGGGCCGGGGCCCCAGGGACCCCAAAGCTTGTGCCCCTCTCCCCAAGGCCACTTTGCTTCATGACGTGACAGCAGTCGGCCCAGACTTGGTGAATGAAGGAAACACGCTTCAAGTGC